TGAGTGCTGTGCCTGCCTGTGATGAGGAGATTGTGAATACAAAAATGAATATTAGTCGAATTTAAAATAAACATTTGCATTTGAATGTTAGAAGTGCATCAGGGAGCATCATCAGTGGAGCACGAGATGCAGTGAGTGATGTAAGTGACGTTGTTGTATTTTAATGTTTTGTTAGTCTAGCCCACGAGACGTGCCGCTGCTGCGTTATTCATTTAAAATATTAGAGAAATATAGAAGCTCAATGTGGAGAAGATCTTGATTAGGTGAAAACCGAAACCAAGCCATTCTCACAGATGCATATTCAACACATTTTAGACGGACAAATATGACTGCTGCACTCGCGTCTCACACAAGAGATGTAGCCATGCAAAGTTAAAACACGTTTAGAAAACACGTCACGAATTTGTGGAGGTTTATTCCGTTTCACTGTGTCTCTTATGTTTTTAAATGCAATCTGCGTGACTGGCGATTCGGCTCTTTGTATTAAGCAATGCATAAATACATGATGCTGTTTTGTTCATAATTGTTTATGCAATTTACGAAATTATATTTGATTTATATGAGTTAATTTAGACGTAATGCAGTTTTTTTTTTAATAGACATTTATTTCCTTGCGTTGACAATTTTATGCGCTGCATTATTTTGCTCATTGCGCCCTCCTGTGGCCTTGGGAGACGAGCCAAAAGTTTCATTAAGACCTATTTAATCTGCACATAAAACATTAGAAATTAGATATTTGTTTAATTTTTATTGTGTGTTTGACTGTTAAAACAAAAAATATTTGTTTGTCTCAATAAATTGGGTTAATTTAAAAATACAGTGGTTAAATTTAAACATTTTTTTCTATTGCTGTTTTTAAAAAGGTTATAAAAAAATGTCAATAATTATCGATACCGAACGATATGAAACATTATATCGTTGATACATTTTTTTAGCTATATCATCGCCCAGCCCTAGTCACTATTCTATCCTTTGCTCATTCCAGTTCTGTTTATGTACACAATTGATAAAACGATTGTCAATTTTCATAATTTTCATTATTGTATTCCATAGAGCCGTGTAATAAACATTAATATGCTGACTGGAGACACTGATGTAAGATGCCCTGTTAAGCTTGTAATCTGTCATTCTGACCCACTGTCATTTGCCTTGAGTGTGTCCTTTTTTTTTGGAGTGTGTCCAGGTTCTTTCTGCTTGTCTCCATTCCATGATCATGTTCTCTTACTGTCTCTGTCTTCCCTCTCTCTCTCTCTCAGACCACCTTGCTCTGATTATTGAGCTTTTGGGGAATATTCCCCATCACTATGCTCTGAGTGGGAAATTTTCACAGGAATATTTCAGCCGTAAAGGTACGCCTGTCAGTCAGGAAGAGCCCTGCCCTGAGGGAGGGGTTTGAAGGGGAAGAGAGGAGATCCAGCAGTTCCATTGACAGCACGTTTTGCTAAAATCTTCAGAAAATGTCCAGTTGTTTACAAGGAGGCTTTTCTTACAAGTTTGAGGCAGCCCTCATAAACAATAAATGAACTGTTGTAGCTTCAAAGCCACAGAATTGTGGCATGATTCCGCTGAATTAGCTTGAAGCTCTACAAGAGGCAGGAGAACCTCAAAAACACTTCTGCATTACACAAGTCCAATTCTTCTTAAATCTTTAATCTGAATCTCTGATGTGAAAATAGTTCACTATGTGACCGCCGTCTTTGCTGGATATGGCTGTGTCTCCTTGCCTTCCTTCTCATTTCTGTTCTCTCAGGATGGGTGAATGACTGTATTAACACTGTCTGATCAAGTTGTCCAATGTTTCGTCCTCCCCTCCGTCTCACCCTCACACCCTCGATCCTCTCTGTGTGTGATGGTAGACCACATTGCTTTGGTCATTGAACTGCTGGGAGCCATCCCACGCAAACTCATATTGACCGGAAAATATTCCAAGGAGTTTTTCTCCAAGAAAGGTAATGCGGCCATTATTAATACATTTTATACCTAGTCATCATGCTTTCAGTTCAGATGATTAAAGTGCATTGTAAACTTAAATGTGTTAAATATTAATTGTTAAATGTTGTTCAGAGGTTTGGGGTTGATACATTTAAAAAAAAAAAGTCTTTTTGAAGTCTCTTGTGTTCACCAAGGCAGCATTTATTTGATTAAAAAGAGTAAAAGCTATAATATTGTAAAATAGTATTATAATTTAATATTTTTTATTTTCATTGTTTCAAAATGTAATTTATGTAATTTATTCCTGTGATGGCAAAGGTGCTTAAGTAACTTTTATTATAAATGTTGAAAATAGTATTTTTGTGGAAACCATGAAGGTTAAAAAGAACGAAACTTATTTGAAATGGAAATCTTTTGGAACAATGTAAAAGTCTCTTTTGATCAATTTAATGCTAGTTTGCTGAATACAAGTACAAAAGTAAAAAAAAAAAAATACTGACCCCAAACTTTTTAGCGGTAGTGTATCTTTTAATAATTTCGAAGCAAAGCCTCATGGATGGATGTTTTATGTATATTTGGATTTACTTACATTTTACAGTTCAGAATTTTGAATTTAATGCACATTTCTGTCCACAATTTACCAGTGTACATTATCCCAAAAAAGTTTGCCATTGTAATGAAAATGTATTAACTTTTTTTCAAAATAATTTCTTTGAATATATTTTCACTCTAAAATGCATCACATTATCAATTTAAAATGAAGTTTAATGTTGATTTTATGTGGTTTTGTGGGGCAACATGTTAATGCCAGAATGTAGGGATGCTCCGATTGATCTGCCAGAGATCGGTATCGGCCAATAATCACATATGACTTGATCGGTACTCACTAAACTTGGCCGATCTCACGAAACGATCGCAATTTGATGACGTCAATGTGTGAGGACGTGATGCGTGGGGACGTAAATGATTTGGCGCCGCAGTCATGTCACCGCCGGTGTGGAATCAGGGCTTGAATCTCGGGGAGGAATTCTACTGATTCCCGCAGTTTCCGCGCTTAACTAAATGAACCTGCTGCTGTCTGTCATGAATGATTATTCATACATTGAACACCAACCAGTGTTATTTTTAAAGTTAAATAGATTATTCAGTTTCTGTGGTATTTCTTTACCTGATCGGTATCGGCCGATCACCATGATAAGAAATCGGTACTCGGTCATCTGCAAAAATCCTAATCGGAGCAACCCTACCGGAATGTTGCAAGGAAGAAAAAAAACAGTACTAGAGTACTGCATGGAATGAGAAGCCTGGTCTCTAATAAGTGTGTGTCTTCTGTAGGTGACCTGAAGCACATCACTAAACTGAAGCCGTGGGGTTTGCTGGATGTTCTGATGGATAAATACGAGTGGCCTCGGGAGGAGGCCGAGATCTTCACTGATTTCCTGCTTCCAATGCTGGAGCTCCTGCCAGAGAAAAGAGTCACTGCTGCCGACTGTCTGCGACACCCTTGGCTTGCCCTTTAGTGTCCTCTTGCTGTCACTGCACATACTTCAGGCCCTGAGCTCAAGAGACTGCAACAGATCACTTTCCAGTTTATAGAGCATATCGGCATAGTTATTTTTCTTCTGTTAACCTGAGTGATATCATTTGCTTGGCTCATCAGAGGAATAGTAAACCTGTCTGTTTTTGTTCTAGCTGGTTTCTCCTTTTTTATTTTCCAGAGTTGAGAGGTTTTTTTGTGAGGGTTACTCCCACCTTAATCCCACTGCCGTCCCTCTTATTTTGGCAAAGGATGAAATGTAGACCTAGAAGACGCCTGTTTAGGTATCTGGGGTATTTTCTGAAGTCATACAAAATTACGATGGGGATCTGTTTTTTTGCAGTACTAATATGAGATGCAGTCCAGTCCTCCTGAGTACCGACCACTCAGGCTGCAGTGCGATGCACAAGAGATAATTTTGTTACTTGTAGTTTTCTGAGTGGGAAAGGAATGGTGGTTTATGAAAAGTGAATTGTTTGGTTTACCTTTATGACTGTAGAGTATAAATTAAGATTGTTTTTGTTCTGCGTCAAGATTCGCCACTCCTCTGTGATTCTATCTCAACTGTGTTTATTAATTCAGTAGGTTTTGATCTTGTCTGCCTCAGATTAGATTTTAAAGAGCTGAAGTCTTCTCACTCATGGTCAGTACATTTAGTGTACATGATGCTTCCACATAAAGTGAGTAACTGTCAAGGGCCACCAAAAGTGATATTTGGCAGGGAAAAAAAAGAAGAAAAAAAACATTTATTGTCCGAGTGTGTGTTGTATGTATGATTTATGTATGTGCGCATGTGCATGTGTGTGTGTCTGTATATATGTGTACCAAAGAGTTTGCCTTGATCTGTATATTACAGCCATGTACAGTTTTTAAAAGAAATCCTACTATTGCATCTAAGCTAAGATTATTTAGCTGGATAGAAGTGTTTTAATAAAGCATTTGGAAGATGGGTGAACTGGTTTGTCTGATTTGCTTTAAAAAAAAAAAAACACTAGAAATGTTATAAATTGGAGATGAAAAAGCAGGGTACCTTTCATTGTAATGCACACTGATCTTTTGGACAGATAAAAGTAAAGATTAAATAATTGTTGTATTGCTAAGTATGTGCAAAACAATAGAAAAAAGTACAGAAAAACAAATGATTGTTTCGATATCATTTTAGTACATTAAAACAGGGGTGGTCAATCTGGGATGCTAATTTTTTATAATTTCTTTTACAATGAATGTCCAGTTCCATATCCACTGCAGTTCAGATGTTTTGGATTCAGGCTTTATCTATAAAAAAAAGGAAACGACAACATCACTAAAATTGTGCATTTAAAAATTCTACAAGTTACTGCAACCTAAATATAGTCACGTATAATTATTTAGTAGGATAGAAATTTGACATTATTTATGGATAATTATTTTATTATTAATCATATGATACATTAATAATCAATTCATCGGCACATTCTGACCCTGGGTTTTTAAAGTGGGAATCTGTCCAGCTCATAGCCAGTGTAACTTAATGTTCTGCTCTGAATTATGAGTCGTGAATACATTTTAATTCATCTCCAAATCATTCCAGTACTTCTCTTACCGTTACCCTCCACCTCGAAGTCATCTGGCAGCAGTTTGTCTTGCCGGTTGCCCAGAGTGAAAGCAAGCAGTGCCAGTAACCCTGAGTCCAGGATGCTGATAATGCCTAGAATATAAGCCCAGCGAACGGTGCAGTTCCCCAGCGTGTACTTGTCTGTCCTCTCACCACACATCCGCTTCACCTCCGGAGCATCCCAGCCGTCCGGATAAATCATACAACCCATCACCATCAACACAGCTACAACATCAAGTGCAAAGGTTACATTTTTCTATACCCTCTCCCTTTAAATGCCTACAATATGCATTTATTTAGGGTAGAGGCAATATTGAATTTTTCACGAATGAAAACGGGGTTGTGAGTGATAGACGCACAGTTGATAATGCTTTTAAATGTTGACAGACAGCAGCAGGTTTACTACAGTAGGATGCTGTCACGGAACGCTCAGATACTGACTAGCATTCGATTACTTTTCAAACTGTTTATTTTCACTAAAGACATAACTGACTGTGTTTAGTGAAAACTCACCCAATCGGACATTTTGACATCTAAAGGAAAAGTAGCCTGTGTCCGTGATTCAGTCCGTCTCGAATCGCGAACATGGAAAGCGCTTGGGAAACGGTGACTACGTTTACATGGACATCAGTAATCTAATTATTTACCTTATTCTAAATAAGCCAATATTATGATTATGGTGTTTACATGAGTTGCTTTTAGAATATTCCTTTCATGTTCCCGTTTTACGTTATAGTACATAGTTCGATTAATGGCACACGTCATTACGTCGAATATAGAAAAAGTTATTTCAAAGTACTGCCCACACTCCAGTCCAGTAGGTGGCGGTAAATGCACATTTGGTTTGCCAACCGCCAATAATATTAAAAGACGACGTCACCACGTGACGCCATCAGACGTCCCCTCCGGAACTTATAAACATATAAGCTGTGTCTCATTTAGAAGGCTGCGCCCTCCGGAGGTCGCATTCAAAGGCTGCATACGTCATCGAGGCTGTCTCATTTCAGAAAAGCAAGTAGGACACTCCGAATGCGACCTTCTTTCACAGGAATTCGGAGGATGCATGAGGTGTATCCTTCGCTGCTACAGATAACCCACAATTCTTTGCGTCGCCGTAAACAACCGTTGTTAATTTGAAAAATGCCGGCGCCGGCAAACGTACACACAAGCGCAGATGTGGTGTTTACAACTTACCTTAAATCGCCTCGGTAAAAACGGATAAACTTTGTTTTTAATATCCTCCTCCTTTTTTCTCTCTAACAGATGTCTGCAGTACGTACGCTGCAGCTCCTCAAACATTGAACAAAATAAAACAAGTAAAAGCATTTTATTTTTTCAAATTACTTTCCAAATGTAGAAATAATTTTCCTTCAAGTAGTGTGAGAGCGCAACAATGCTCTAAATGTGTTGGCATAGCAACGTGATACTTCCTGTTTCCTTTTCCTACGAAGGCCATCTCGTTTAATTCTAGGTTGAGGACACTTCGTATATTCATCCTACAGAGGATGCGACACAGCTAGTGTTGAAGCTCTTTTATATGCCGTCAAACGGTTGAGCACTGCCGTGTGTGTATCCTGTCGCAAAATGCGGCGAAAAGTCCTACACAACGGTAATAATGTGATTAAGGTGTTTACATGTCTATACTGCACTTCAATAATGCGACTAAAATAGGAATACTCCACGTCTTAATTCGATTTCTGTTTACTTCGATTATGACTTTAGCCGGATTAAGGTAATCAAAAATCTCGGTTTACATGGTAGATTTTTAATCAGAGTATTGCCTTAATCGTATTAAAATCGGAGTATTGTTGTCCATGTAAACGTACTCACTACTGTCTCTTCCGCGGCTCTGCGTATTTAACTCATTTTTTTTTGTATCGAGCAAGAACGGCAGGAGACTGTAGGCTAATCACTTGATTTGACTGATTTGGATGTTATGTAGAAAGGGTGACAGCGCACAGAATTAAAGGAAAGGAGCATTCATTTTTTCATAACCGCTGGCCAAAATCAACAACTAAACTAAAATTAAATAATCGTTGAGAGCAAGGGGGCCCCCTGGTGTATCGGGGGCCCTATGCAACATGCTTTCTTTGCAAATAGGGAGGATCGGCTGTGGTTTATTCACCTCATGCCATTCCAAAGCTGTATGACTTTCTTTCTGCAGAACACAAAATAATATTTAATTTTTAGTTTTATCATTATGTGGATAAAAATAGTAAGTTAAGCAAGTTAATAAATAAATGAATACATTTCTTATTCTTTTTTTTGAGGGGGGGGGCCTTTCCCTTTCCCTTTCACGTCATTGAATGGACCGTGCAACTGTCCCTCACAGCCTCGTGATCAATAGCAAATAAATAAATACATACATACATGTCTAACCTTATTCATGTGTCTACCCTTAATAAATATATTAATAAAAAATATTTCAAATTTAGTTAATTTTGTAATGTCATCTTTTTAAACTGCTTTAATTCATTTATGCTTATTAGCAAGGCTAACTAGTAAACACTTTGCCCACCTGAAGATGTTTGCATCCATGCGCATATCTTGTACACACTTGCAGAGTTGCAGAAGAAGAAAAGACCCAAGCACACAATGGTGCCTACGATAAGGAGCATTGAGGTGCCTACAAAAAACATAGCAGTCCTGAAAGCCCCGGAGGGGATCGAACCAAAATCAAACACGCTTCCTTTGCAGACCAATTCGGAGGTGATAGGGTTGCCAATACAATAGTGAAAAAGCCCAAAGTATCCAGCCTGCGGGGTGTTAACACTATCACCAATCCAGTAGGGCTGAATGAAGACCACCACGGTAATGATGGCGAAGCATATGGTGAAAACGGCCCACAAGACACCGATGGCCCTGGCATTTCTCACATAATTGGTATGGTAGATTTTGGCAGCCTCTTGGGCTGGAAGCATATTCTCATTCGCCATTATTAAATTTGCATATATCCAGCGAGGTTAGAAATCTGTAGATATTTTTCAAGAAAAAAAAACAGACCAAATGAAAAGCTAGTTCAGAATCCAATGCTACAGACAGCTCTTATATTATAGCCATTTAGTTAAAAGAAAATGATTAAATCTGCTTTTTTCAAAGAAGTCCAAAGGCTAAGGAGATCGTCACCAGTAGAATAGTGTCTGAAACAACACTGTTGCCAACAAAGGTGTCAGTTTTTAAATTATTAATGGTAAATTAAGATGAGGAATAAGGTGGCAACAATAACCTGTTCTCTTAGATGCTGTAATCAGATATGTTTGTTACTTCACAGTAAAAGAACAGCTATTGTGTTGTAGGAACAACACAAACTCTTTATCGTTTTTAAAAAGCTGTAGTCAACACCTTTACCAAATCTATGTAACAGCAGATTTTTTTTTTAATGCAGGAACAGTTTGTTCAGTGTCTGTGTGAGGGGACCTTTGACATCTACTATAAACATAAGGTTAAGGGCGTTTTTATGGATATCTCTGTGCTTAGTGGCCCTTGCTGTCCCTCGCAATCCTAAAAAAAATAGGTATTTTATTTATTTATTTATTATTTATTTATTTATTTGTTTGTTTACTTTTTTGAAGTTATAGTTTTTAAATTCTAGTATTTAAATATTTAAATTCTAATGGTATTTAAAATATAAAAATAAGAATGTCCACCAGGACAAGAGGAAAGAAAGAATAAAAGAGAGATCATTGCTAATGAGGTTTCACGAGTGATATAAATAAACAATAAATGCATCTCTGTCAGGAATTTATTGCTCAGAAGGGAATTTATCAGACAAGACAGTCAACAACAAAGACTACACTCTGATGTTTGTGTTCCTCTTGAGTGTGATGTGAAGCCTTTGCTTTGTAGGTCAAGAATTACAAAGATATCAAAGGCATTGCGAGCCTGATATGTAAACAGAGCCCTTGAGCATCACACAATTCTGCAACAGCAATGCAACATCTGTTCAACTGCGATAGATTTGATAGTGCACAAAAAGATCTTAAGATACATTTACAGCTATAAACGTTTTGAAGAACTTGTTATCCTGTAAGCCTTTCCTCAATTATGCAACAAAACCTTTCACAATGCACAAGCTACATTTTACAGCATAATTTCTTGACAAATTGTGAACTTCTATTACAGACCTCTGTAAAATATAAATTGCAAAGCGTGTCTGTTAATGCTCAGTGATGAGATTTTTCAAATATCCTTTCTGCATTTCATGTTTGTATGTAAAAGAAAACTGGCCTGGCTAAAACAAGCCACATGCCATTTCTGCCTTGGGTGTCCACCAGAATGTGACACATCTTTGATTATTGACAGGCTTCTGTTGCCTTTCTGCTACTGTGAGACATCAGACTATACTGTAGTGGAGAGAAGGAACATGTGCTGGATCATCTCAAAGCACAAAGAAATGCAGAAAAAGGTGGGTTATGATGATAAACTTGAATGCAAGTACATGTAGAGCTGTGTATAAGACACACAAAAGGTTTAACTTTGTAGATTTACATGTTATATTAAAGGGGTAATGAACTGAGAAATCAAAATTCCCCAGATCTTTTGACATATAAGAGGTCATCGTACTATAAAAACATCCTGTATGTTTCAGAACTCAAAACTTTCTCATTAGTCTAAAAACAGCTTATATTGAAGCCAATCTGCCAAAACGACAGCTTGTGGAATGTGCCGCTCTATGACGTAATAGAGCGGGTAAACCCGGCCTCTGCAGAAGATGATCACTGCCTGTTTAGCCCCGCCCACTGATTCGCGCACGCAGTGTAAATAATGAGAAAGATAACGCGGGTTTACACAGAAACCAAACGAAAAAGATGCTCCGAATACAACAAAACGCTATGCAATGCCAAATTGTGGACAAACACAGTCTTTGCATAACCTTCCATCATCCCAACATTAGGAAAAAGTGGATTAGCTTTATTTTTGATGAAGATCCAGATCGCGTCAGTAAAAGTTTGGTCGTTTGTTCACTTCATTTCACCGCGGATTCGTTTACAAACAAGGCACAATTCGACGCAGGATTTTCTGAAAGACTGAAATTAAAAGACGATGCTGTGCGACTATATTGGATCCGACAGTATGTCGCACCACACAAGTGTGAGTAACTGTTTTTATTACGTGATAACTATTACTTTGTCTGTTATTACAGATCGTTTGATATGAACTGAGTATTTATGCGTTTTTAACCTAAATCACATGTAGCTGTCAAACATACACAACTGTTAGCCAATCATAGCAGTGGGCGTTTACTTCCGAGTCTACAATCCAAGGTCAAAACAGGACAGAAAATAGCCTATTACTGCTAAAATATTATGTTTTTTATGTAAAAATCTTGATAACATTATAAGTGGACCTCAGAGAACAGTACAAAATAATAAAAAAAGGCAGTTCATGACCCCTTTAACATTAATTCCAACAATACATAATTTGGCTATTAGATATTAGTAATTCAAAATAATTCATTTTGGGTCTCACGATTTTCCTTCCCTTTGGTATAATGTTTCAAATATATCCTTTGAATGTATATCCTCTAAATTTATGATGTTTATGTTCATATTTATTTTTTAGTCAATAATGACTATTTAATGAACTCAGAATTTGGGTTTTGTGGCTTTTAGGATTTCACATTTTGTTCTGAGTCATACCTCAAATGTAAAACTAACATTGCTAATAAGTTGCTAGACTAGAATGGCTGCCTGAATCAACAAGCATTAAAGGGGTCATATGATGCTATTTTAAAGATCATTATTTTGTGTATTTGGTGTAACAGAATATGTTGACATGCTTTAATGTTCAAAAAACATTATTTTTCAAATACTGTACATTATTGTAGGTCCTCTATGCCCCGCCTCTCTCAAACACTTCGTTTTCAACAAAGCCCCCTCCTTTGACAAGCGCAGTCTGCTCTGATTGCCCTGCTGACCCAGTG